AAATGTTATCCATTTTATAGCATATGAATGAGTGAACCCTTCCCTGTGAACATGTTTTAGATGTAGTGAGAAGACGATAAGTATTTGATATAATAATGATAAAATTAAATTGAAGGGGATAATTGTGTTAAATACATTCTATTATTAATCCCTCATAACATTTACAATTGAACATATTTTCATTTTTAAACCTATTAGCAGTTACAGTTGCTGGACATGTTTTGTCCCATGTCTCAAGAATCAGTCATATATACTGTAACTTTTCACGAGTTTGCCTGCCCATCCAGTCCTGATGGTTAATGGTAAACGAACTTGGCTTGCTGTTCGTAATGGAGGCTCGAACCCGAGGCTCGGCTTGAGCGCCGAGTTCAACCCCCCATACTGTACTACCTAGAGGGAGGAAAACAGAAATAGAGGAGAAGATGGGGAGGTGGAGGGATGCCGGAAGAGTTGACACTGGGACGGTGCAATGAGAGCTGCTTATATAGGCTCGCAATGATTGACAGGACTGAATGATTAGCGAACCTACGTTTGGAGCTTAATTTAAAAACATAATCCAATACAGATGACTAATTCATTCTTTAAACTTTCAATACAAAAAAAAAAAAGTTGTGGCTTAATGGTTAGAGAGTCGGACTTGTAACCCCAAAGGTCAAGGGTTCGAGTCTCGGTACCGGCAAGGATTGTAGTTGCGGGGAGTGAAAATACAGTGCTCTCTTCCACGACTGAGGTGAGATCCTTAAGCAACGCACCGAACTTCCAACTGCTCCCCAGGCGCCGCAGCAAAAATGGCTGCCCACTGCTCAGGTTGTGTTTACAGTGTGCATGCATATTTATTTGTATTTTTATTATAATTAATTAAATTTTTAGCTTAGTTGAGATAGGCGGGAAAGTGAGAAGATAGAGGAGTTGGGACTCAGAATAGGACAAATTCAAACTTGTGTGCAATTTAAAATTCATAACTCCTATTTTCTCCATCAGATTCCCATCAGTTCACTCTGGATCCAAACACTGCACATAAACTCCTCATTTTTTCTGATTGGGAGGAAGAGGTGGCTTTCAGTAACAACCGTATCCAGCCGTATCCTGATCACCCAGACAGATTTGATGGGGGAACAGTGAATCTCTGTAATTTAGCAATTATAGATGATTCTGAAAAGTAATACCAATAATGTTGTCGAATCAAATCTTTGAGCAGCATGATAAATCAGCAACCATGAGATGTTATAGTATCTCAAGGAAAACACATTTTTTGAAAGAGATTTGAAAGAGAGTGGCAGCTTGTTGTTATATATTGTTTTTTCCATAAACAAAAACAGATCAGTCTTTAATCCTTGATAGATATCTGCAGTGAAGATAATATTCACAGCAATATTTACATCACTATAATACATTGACATGAGAAAACTCTTCAACTCTATTTAAAGTGTAAAGTAAGTGTGTTCAGATACTAAACACACATTCACACACTCATACCTGTATATGTGGTTTACGGGGACTCTCCATAGGCGTAATGGTTTTTCTACTGTACAAATTGTATTTTACGGTGGTCGAGAAGTGCAAAACAAATCACAATTCTAAAAACAAAATAACAAATTACAAACCAAATCAATCAGAAAACACAACAACAATTCCGAAAACATTATAACAAGTCAGAAAACACAATGACAAATCTGAAAACAAAATAACAAGTCAGAAAACACAACAACAAATCAGACAAACCGGAAGAGGTAGGTACAGTTTGAGACAGCGTGAGAATAGATTACTCACAGCTGACTGGACAAGACATCTGTCAATCAAGGTGTAGGACTCAGAATAGGACAAATTCAAACTTGTGTGCAATTAAAATTCATAACTCCTATTTTCTCCATCTGATTCCCATCAGTTCACTCTGGATCCAAACACTGCACATAAACTCCTCATTTTTTCTGATTGGGAGGAAGAGGTGGCTTTCAGTAACAACCGTATCCAGCCGTATCCTGATCACCCAGACAGATTTGATGTTTATCCTCAGGTGTTGTGTAGAGAGAGTGTGAGTGGATGCTGTTACTGGGAGCTTGAGTGGAGAGGAAGTGGGAGTTGGAGTGGTGTGAATATATCAGTGTCATATAAGAGCATCAGCAGGAAGGGATCTGGTTATGAGTGTTTCTTTGGATATAATGATCAGTCCTGGAGTTTATCCTGCTCTCCCTCTAGTTTCTCATTCTGGCACAATAACAAAAGGCCTGAGAAAACACAACAACAATTCCGAAAACATTATAACAAGTCAGAAAACACAATGACAAATCTGAAAACAAAATAACAAGTCAGAAAACACAACAACAAATCAGACAAACCGGAAGAGGTAGGTACAGTTTGAGACAGCGTGAGAATAGATTACTCACAGCTGACTGGACAAGACATCTGTCAATCAAGGTGTACAGGAAGAACAGCAGAGTAGTGGTAGAAAGTTCGGAGCTGGTCTTAAAGTAACACAGTTTAAATGCATTATATGAATTGTTCCCTTACTATGGAATAAAAAAATGTAAAACATGCATGTACTTGTTCTTAATTAATTTGCTTGGTTAAATAAAGGTTAAATAAAAATAAAATAAAAAATAAATAAATGTACATTTACAACACTGTACTTATATTACCTTTAAATCAGATTACAAAAATACTAGTTAACGCTAATGGGAGGGTGTTTCTAATACAGTGTCTATGGGAGTGACGGTAAATTTGACATTTCTGCCGTTCAGTCCTGCCGTTCAGTCTCTCTCTCAATTTTTTTTTTTTTATAAGTCGTGAAAACACTATCGTGGCAATTTTCTTTTGCTATTTGAGCAAATGGGAATGCAAAAAATAAAAATAAAAAATAAAAAAACAGGCAGAGGTGTGTTAAATTGGGATTTCTGTGGGGCAGAGAGAATTTGTTGAACAGTCTTTTTATTAGGAAAATTTAACTGGAATTGAGTTGTATCAAACAGCATTAAGGGTGCTTTCACACTAGCACTTTTGGTGCACACCCGGGTTCGATTGATGTCAGAGTTCGGTTCGTTTGGATGATGAACGCTGTCTTCCGAACTCGGGTGCACACCCATGAACCATACCCGAGTTTGATTAAAATGGGTGGTCTCTGGGGTACGATTCATGTGAACTCCAGTACGGTTCGCTGCTGATATGAACGCAATCGTACCAAATCACGGAAGTGAACCGCTATTAATGACGTATTATTTGATTAAAAAAAATGTGTTTGTGTGTGTTTCACTCACTTTCCTGACATGACGTGACTCTTTGCTGCAAGCAAAGAGCTGTATATCTCATTTCATTGTCGTTGTGTTTTCTGACTTATTTTGTTTTCTGATTTGTCGTTGTGTTTTCTGACTTGTTGTTTTGTTTTCGGATTTTTCATTGTGTTTTCTGACTTGTTATAAAGTTTTCTGAATTGTTGTTGTGTTTTCTGAATTGTTATTTTGTTTTTTAAATTTGCATTTGCGTAATTTGTTATTTTATTTTCAGAATTGTGATTTGTTTTGCACTTCTCGGTCACCGTAGTATTTGCTATCCCCTTGCCCAAACCCTACACCTCGCACAAAACTACAGGCATTTTTTGAATTTCAAAAACACTGCCTGTGTTTTTTTAAGGACACAGTAAGTATCCTCATAAACCACGTTAACGTTGTATTACCCGTGTCAGTATACACATTTGTGGCTGCTGATATGAACGCAATCGTACCAAATCACGGAAGTGAACCGCTATTAATGACGTATTATTTGATTAAAAAAAATGTGTTTGTGTGTGTTTCACTCACTTTCCTGACATGACGTGACTCTTTGCTGCAAGTTGTTGTGTTTTCTGAATTGTTATTTTGTTTTTTAAATTTGCATTTGCGTAATTTGTTATTTTATTTTCAGAATTGTGATTTGTTTTGCACTTCTCGGTCACCGTAGTATTTGCTATCCCCTTGCCCAAACCCTACACCTCGCACAAAACTACAGGCATTTTTTGAATTTCAAAAACACTGCCTGTGTTTTTTTAAGGACACAGTAAGTATCCTCATAAACCACGTTAACGTTGTATTACCCGTGTCAGTATACACATTTGTGTCCTCATAAACCATGTATTCAAGCTGTTATGTCCATATTTTGAATGATCTGTGTACGATGGGGGCTGCTTTTCTCTGTGTATTCTTCTATATGCTAACTTCTGTATACCTGAGACTTAAGATCAATCTGAGCTGTGTATCAGCTAAAATTTTGTGTACATCAGATGTTCTATTATAGGGCTGGATGATATGGTCTAAAATCAAAACCTCGATTAATTGAACACTTTACCTCGATTATGATTAATGATTATTTTATTGTTTATTTTTTATTTTTTTGCCCTCATAGTTCATTAAAGGTTGAAATGAAGATATCTTATGAAAAAAGTCACATTTCAGTTTTATTGTAAAATGGATGGGTGAGCGAAACTATATTAAACTGTCATTGTATATGTTACACACATTATAAAAATGTATTCCTTCACACAAACATATTGTAATAAACTTTTCCCCTACTGCGAAACTATGTATGTATATGCCTGTGTTCATTTATTTCATAAATGAAAGTGATGCCTTTTATTTTTGGTTTGTTTTACTCTTGTGTGTTTTATTTAGGGCTGTCTTTATGGCTACGTTTCATCATTTTGAATTTTAGGTTGTACCTAGATGGCGCCAATAAAGTGTTTAGTTTGCAAACCGCCAGTTCACGAGTTCGCACTTACATATATAATAGAATTTAGCAAATAGTAAGAATATTTGGTGTGCTGTCTTGAAGAAGGGCTCTGAGCTCGCAATATAGCCTGAACCCAGAGAACTCCCCCCCAGTATAGGATGAGAATAGTTTAAAAGTAAGGCGTTGGGGTGGAGGAGGGATGCCGGAAAACTGTCATGGGACAGAGGTGAGTTGGCTGTGTATACATATCATGCAAATTAAGTTGATCAACTAGACGAGCTCCACCTGTGTTGAATTGGTTGATTATCTGATCATGCTTCTCCCGAACCTTGTTAATAAAACATAATTAAAAGAAGAAGATGAAATGCAAACAGGGTGTAAACATTGTTTTCAGAGGCGTGCTCTGCCCTAAATTTGACATGCCCCAAAGCAGTGGCGTTGTAGCGTTGCCAGTGGCACTGAGCGCAGATTTGACACTGTAGTGGAAGCACACCGTTAGCGCGCCTCTCACGTGCAACCATATTTTCTTCTGTGTTTAATTGGAGAGGGAGTCAGGTAATTGTTGTTGTTATTTTTTGGGGGTGGGGGTTATGGTAGGTAGGTTAGTCTTTAAAAACCTTCTAGTAAGTCTACTCTTTTATTTTGGCCTTTCACCTCCTGAATCCTTTGTTTGTTTACATCCCACAATTTATATAATAAAACTATTTTCTGTTATATTTGAAATCTGGTTTCACTGAGATTTTGTTTCTGCCTTGCAACATGGAGAAGGCAGTTCTCTCCTCTTCTCCTGTTATTGTTACACTCCTTTTCCTACCCCTAAACTTGAATGAGGCGCATAGCAAGTGGGGGCAGTATTTGAACCTGGGACCTCTCGCGCACCAGGAAGAATCATACCTCTAGACACACAGGCAGTGGCGTGCACAGGGGGCATTGCTGAAGGGCCCACTTTGGCTCAAAATGAGCAGCTAACATAATTTCACTAATATCATAAGCAGAAAGTGTGAACAAGCACTAGTCAGATGAAATTATAATTCAAATTTTTTTGGAGTATTTCTTTGTTGCACAGTGCACATTTCTTGCTTTAATATCACTATTAATAAGGATTGTATCTCTGTATAATATCAGTCTTTAAATGCAAGATACCTGAAGTGTTCCACTTTAGCACAAATCAAATATACTTCAGTATATCTTTAGTCGGACCTCAGCACTACTTGCGCACAATTAAGGAGCACAAAATTAGTTGTTCCAATTTAGCAGACTTTAAGTATACCAGTTTAGCATACCAAAATTACCAAAAGTTTTTTTTTTCACTAGAGCAGCTAACATTGCATCAAAATGGCCTCAATGAAAGGAAATTGTTGCAAAGAATATTTCACATGAAAGGTCCATTTACCGCATCATCAAGAACT